AGCAATTAGTATTAGAAATTATGATTTTTTTACATCATAGTAAAAATCTAGTGCAATTAAACAACTTTATATCACCAGTTGCCTTAAAGAAAGGTGATTTTTTCATAGCTAATTGATTGGGCAGGGCATGTCTCAAGGATGAAGGACCACCGCCTCCCTAAGATCCTACTCTATGGTGAACTTACCACTGGCTGCCGCATGAGAGGAGCCCCGAAGAAAAGATACAAGGACTCCCTGAAACAACATCTCAGCCTTGGCCATATTGATCACCATAACTGGTCTACTCTGGCCTCAAATCGGGAGGCCTGGAGACACACCATCTATAACGCAGCTGTCTCCTTCGAGAACACACGCAGGATCTCTCTCGAGGAGAAAAGGCAGCGCAGAAAGAACCGTNAAAAAAAAAAGAAAAAAAAATTGCTACCTGATTCTGTTCTAGCTACAATAATCCCATTTTCCTACTACATTTCCTATCTCTGCAGTCCCAGGCTTCTTATCTGAAGTCACTACATACTTCACTAGTAAGCTATCACTGCTCATCACCAGCTGTGAATCACAAGCTAACTGCAGAAACTAATTATGGACCTATTACTGGCAGGAAGCACTAACTGCTTTCTGCAGCTCCTTGCCCCAGAATAAGAGCCTATACAGAATATACCCTGCTGGTGAGCTGCTATGCAATAAGTGTAATTTGCATTCTTTGATCAGTGCCCATTGCTTCTCAGTGATGACCATTCATCACTGGGAGAAAAAGGTCACTGCCAGCCACTGACTGGCAACTGCTCTGTGCAGAAATAGGTCATCCATGTCTCCTATCACAGGCTAAGTAGGCACAGGTTGCCCAGAGAGGTGGTGGATGCCCCATCCCTAGAAACATTCAGGGTCAAGTTGGATGGGATTCTGAGAAATGTGATCTAGTTGAAGATGTCCCTCCCTGCTCATTGCCGGGGGTTGGACTAGATGACCTTTAAAGGTCCCTTCCAACCCAAACTATTCTATGAGTACAAATTTGAAAATGGCAAATATTGCAATAACAGCAGGTGGCACTGACGGGTTGCATGGCAAATGCAGTTTGCAGCACCTGATCAGCTTACAGTAGTGAAATACCTATTTTTGCCAGGATAGACATTGACATTAATAGTAACTCTTAATCAGCTACTGCCCAAACTGGAAACAGGCTACTATCAGTTAATGATAAGCAGTACATGTCCTAACAGCGCAGAAAGAACCGTAAATTGCAGAATACACCTCCTAAGGAGTCTTTCTGCTGTGCCTTTTGCAATCGGATATGTCTGTCACGTATTGGCCTCATAAGCCACCAACGTGCCTGTAGCAAATGTGGATAGAGCCTTCCCAAATCTTCGTTCGCGAAGCCTCGCCATGATGATACCTTCAACATTCATACTACTTTCTTTGCATAGTTCCTACTGCAGAATTGTTAATTAAAATAAAATCTTGTTCACATTTTAATCTGGTACCTCAGTGAGTGTTCAGTATTGAGACAGACTTCTCCTGAGAGAGAAGGGTAAAGAAGATTAGAGGATTCACAGACTCTTGTGACATAATAACTAGGATGATTGTCAAAGAAGCTGTTCTGACAAATCTTTGAACTAAAGAGGAGGAATCTCATGCAGCCTAGATTATTAGATTTCAGACTTTACTCCATCAGGAAGTTTATTCTGAGTCCAATACCAGTAAATAACTCTGACAGACAATACCTTCCTTAAACAATGTTGTTTCCATAACTGTTTGGCTTTATGAATACAAGATGAGACCTGGGAAATGGACAGTGTTTCCATTTTATTTTAAGAACACGTACTTAGGGCCTAAAGAAGCATGATTTCTGTACAGACTCTGAACTAAGGGAAAATCATGCATTTCAATAGAAAGTTTTATTTATATGTTGTCCACATGACAGCGTGCCTGTAATAAATGTGGATAGAGCCTTCCTTAATCTTCATTTGCGAAGTCTAGCCATGATGATGTCCACATGAAGCTTCTAAATGCTTATGACCCATTCTTGCTTATGTATATATATATATATATATATATACAAAAAACCAAACCCACCCAAATATTATGATATCACTATGTTTACATTAATGAAATATGTAAGAAAATACATAGTAGGACAAAATTAACCAGTTTAAAGTCAAATTTCATTGTGAAGAATAACTCAATCCTAAAATAAAATTAAAATAAAAATGTAATTAGTTCTTTTTTTTTTTTGCAAAGAAAATTTAATATAATGCTAGTATTTCAAAATATGCAGCAAATAGAGAAAGACATAATCTTCTGGATCACTAAAGATGGGTATCTCTCAAACATTTTCCCTTGTCAGGGGAGGTTCAGATTAGATATTAGAAAAAAAAATTCACTGAAAGAGTTGTTCAGGCATTGGAATAAGTTGCCCAGGGAAGTGGTGGAGTGACCATTTCTGTAAGTGTTCAAGAGGCATCTGGATGCGGTACTTGGGGATATAGTTTAAGAATGATTATGGTGGTGCTTGGTTGACTGTTGGACTCGGTGATCTTGAAGGTGTCTTGCAACCTTGATGATTCTATGACTAAAGGAAGAGATGATGGGTCAAAGGAAGATACTTTTTTCAAGACTGCTAATAAAAATTAAAATTTAATTAAGAGCTTTTTGAAATTCAGTGGAATCTAATGAGTCAACAACTTGTTCCAAGACTTTAAGATAATATATTTATCTCAGAATATCACTTTCTTAGCATTTGAGCTATTAAGATTTATGGTGGTAGTGGACCTGGTGGTAAATATATAGGTTAAATCGCTTATTCACTTTCCAAACCTTTTATATAATTCAAGTTTGTTTGCTGAAAAGGGTACTGTCATGCTGCATAGATTCTTTTGCTTTCCTGTAAATCATAGCCTACAACAGTTTCTATGATCCTAACTAATACAATCTTGAAGTCTGTCATGCTTGTTTCAGTTGCTACTCACTCATATTAAAAGGCTGCCTAGAATTCCGGTCATTAAGGGCTTAGAAACTTTCTTCAGACCTTTAACTCATACTAATTCATTGTGTTTCTATTCACATTTTTTCTTCTTACAATATTCTTCTTACTGTTCTGCAGCTCAAATACTTCTTTTCTCTCTATAGTTTTCCATCAAAATTTGAATTTATAGACAATGATTCTTCTGCCTCTCGATCTGCTTTACTGTCATTTTTAAAGCCACATTCCCAGCAGCCTTGGCCATTCTAAGAGACTATATGAATGTATAGTCTCCTACATGAATTCACCTTTTGAATATAGCTGGTCAGAATAACTCTCACATTGGCTTATATCCCAATATTAATGCTTCATTCCCTGGCAGTATGTCATATGCATTCTAAAGCTACATTTGCATCTATGTTCTTCATATCCAGATTACATAGGTCTCATAGGCATCTTGCTGTTGACTAAACACTCTGATATTTATCCTTTTGTCATCTACATCTGATGATCCCAGCACCTACAGAAGAAATTCTTACAATTTGATTCCAAGTACATGTCTGCAGTATGGAGCATTAGATGCATTCACATTTCTATTACTTAGACTAAATAATTCAAATTTTCCGGTACAGGAATCATTCCTACTTTTTCATCCTCCAAATCCAATGTCCTATGAAACATCATTAGTACACAACTATGTTTTGCACCAACATCATGAAAGAAAATATTAAAGCTCACTTCTAAATTCCATCAGCTTCCTGTGCAGGTAAAGCAGAAAAATGGGCTCTTTTTGCCGGCAATTCACAGCAGAAACTTGTCTCAGTCATTCTGAACCTCTCCTCAGGGAAGCCTTCCATCGACTACAAAGGGAGCATAATCAAAATAGTTAGCTTTTTGGAATACCTCTGTTCCTATGCCAAAAAGATGACTGACATGTTATTCTTCTACTACTAGGTTTCCTAGCAATTTAGGATGTGTGAATTTAGGCTTGGAACTTGGGGCACATAGAGGACTCTGGTTTCTACGGCGTTACTATGGGATTGTCAGCACAAATTGAGGATATGTTTATGAACCAAGACATTTCTCAATGCCTGGAACTACATTTTTCCATCTCACTGAAATCTTTCTCAGCCATACCATCATGTTTTGTGGACATCTGTATGGCTATGCATTGTCACATCCTTTTGAAAACGGATTTTCTGAATCAGAGATTATCCACAATTTATTCACAAAAACAAATATTTTTTTTCAAGACATAGGTCATAAACACAACCATAAATCACAGTGAAATGGCTCAATAAAAGCATTAAAAGCTCCATTGCAAGACCAAGAACTCTATTTCCATGTAGTTAGGACGAAGTTTCTTAAGTGCTGCAAAAAAAAAAAAAAAGGGGGGGGTTATAATGGAAATCAGCAAAAAGTGGTATGGACTTTTTTCAGGCAGCAGCATACATTTATGAAATACAATTTCTTGGGGGTTTCCTACTACACAAAAGGTTGAATCAAACTCAGGTATTTAGTGTTCATGGCCTAAAAGCAAGAAGGGATTAAACCCTAGATTGTAATTTAGAAGAGGGTAAACCTCATTTATTCTGAAATAAGTATTGCATTTCTTTATCGCTGTTTATTTGAACTCTCAACACAGAAAACTTTCAAGTCACAGTCCTTAACAGCTGTTGCATACATTAGCACACTCAACACAGTATTTCCATAGCCCTTTTCAAGTCCATATTCTTTCACTAGGTGTCTAAATCTTTTCTTGTGGCATGGAGAGAATTAAGTCACTGTTATTTTATTCACTAAACAATCAAGGTTAAGCCTACAAGTTAAAAAAATAAAACCTACAAGTGAAAAATATCAGAAAACTACATTATTATTATAGTTCTCAAGTTACATGTATTGCTATTGTTAAACAAAATATGTTTGAGGTAATAACAAAAATGTGTGCATAGTACATGAGTTATGGTCCTGACTTTCACTCCCTAGGCCACATGTAACTATTACTTCCTCAGGGAATAAACATTTCCACTCTGTAAAGGACTATATGGTGCAGTAAGTAATATAGGCCCAAGCCTATTGTAACATATTGCACAAAGGTCAGGGATAAATTTGCTTAAAGAATAACAATTTGTAGACAAATCCTAGCACCACCTGATGCAAGACAAGTAGTCAAGTTTATTAGAAGTGATTTAGTGAAGTTTGAATGGGCTTCATTAGCCAAGGCAATTTGAAGTGCACCTCTACATAAAGCGAATATACATAAACATCTTCAAATTAGCTGTGTTCAACACGCAGCCTCTTCCATCTGTACTAACAAGAGAAAATTTAAAGTAAGCATTTTGTTGCTAGAGAAAAATAGAGGAGGAGGCAATGCAAGCCAAATGAGAAATAGGGCAAGGAAAATCAATTTCTCATCAACTGTGGGGTGAATAGTTTTAAACTAAGTCACATAGATTCTAATCATTACCAATAGAAAAATTATTCCTCTCCACTACACTGCAAAGATATAGCACCAAATTCATGATAGAGGAGACTTTAAATTTTGTTGGAAATTCTGTGAAATAAGAAGAAAATACCATGCAATTTATAGGTCCCTAGAAAGCAGATAAAAGGGGCCTTTGGCATGACACTTGTGATAAGTGTATTTAACTTCAAGATAGCTAATGCCCTGAGCAAGTATAGCAACAGCGAAGACAACGTATTATTTTAAATTCTTTGCATAGAAGCCAAAAAACTAATTGTGACATGTTAGCTCAAAACAAAAAAGGATTTCATTACATTGCAGATGCCCTGAGCAAAGGGAATATGTGACACAAAAGGAACTGTGATGAGATTACAAAATGTATCAGAACTGTTTTGATTAATCTCATCTGGGGAGCTTTAAGAAATAGACGCTACACTAGACTTAAATTAGAGGAATGACAAGCATATAATTCTGAACTTCTGCTTCTTCTGCTGCTTTTACAGCATATCTCCACTTTATCCAATGGTTTTATTGCTGAAGAATTTTCACATGCTTAAATTATACTTCCTTGGACATCATGATGTGTGCTGTGTCTCCAGAAAACTGTGCTGCTCAAAAAGCTACACACATCCCACTCTGACACTGTCCTTTTTTAGTTACAGCTCCTTCTGTTAGGAACTTCAAAGTAGTTTTAGGTCTTGAGGAGATATGGTGTTTATTCAGAGATCACTTTGGAGTAGTTTTCATTTCTTCTCTACCCAAGGTGCTCTGATACCACTTTCCCTCTACTCAGCTTTGGGAAGATTTTCTCAAGAATCTGGTCATTTCAAGCATAATTCAGTCCTGGTCTGCCTCATCTCTCGCTGTAACATCGACATCCCCATGGCATTTGGGACACAACTGAAAAACTGTTAAGACAAAAAGAACAATTCTCTGCTATAACCCCTGTATTGGGCATAGATTTCAGGGGTTTGGTACAGGGATAGCAATTGTGACCTGTGTGGGAGAAGGCCTTGAGCTGCCCTGTGCCAGTCACAGCCATTTCTACTCAACTCTTACATCAGCACGTCACATCAACTGAGAAGTACTGAGTCAAGGTACGGAAAAAAATTCTGTATCCTGGTCTCCACATAGGGGAAATCCAAATGTGTGGCCCAGTTGCCAGCTGAGTGACACTCCAAAGCAGGCCCAGTTTGCATAATCACGCCGTAGCAAGTAATTGAGGATGAGATTTCTAATATGAATAAGCCCAAATGAGTTGATCAAGAATCACTTTCTATTTGACTGTCCAGCATACACAAATCCTAATAAAAACATTTGTTTCAGTGCAGAATATGAGTTTGCAGGTGTTTGAAAATCAACAGTCCTCAGATTTGAGGAAATGCTGTGAGTGCTGGAATATCAGCTCGATGTTACTGTGACCCAGAGTAAGCCACTAGCACAAAAAGGAAGAAACCTCAGCAAGAACACCAGTGTTTTGTTTTCACTGAAAACAGATGCACTTTTTTACCTCATGTTAGCCATAACAAACCATAAAAAACCTAGATGAAATCAATTTTCCCAAGAATCAATTAAGTATAGTCTATCCCCCCCCCCCATTTTAGTCTTTAGCTCAGTTATCTCCTGTCATCATAAGGATATTACCATACAATGATGAGCATATTTTTATGCACAGATGGGAAAAGCATGCCTTGTCACTTAGTGAATACATCAGATTAGCTCTAGGCTTTACATAGCCACAGTAGAACTTGGTGAAAAGCAGCAGTGGGAAGTCATTAGTGTAGTGGGCTATACAGGGTACCCTGATCTCCTCTGCATGAAATAATACATAAACTGCTGCTGGCATAAGCAGAAAGAAAGAGCAGGTAACTTAAGTATCCTCTTAGGATGAATTAAGTGTTGTGAAAAAGCACTATGCTCAGTAAAGATCTAAATGTCTGGCTTCAGCTCAGAAATAGAATTAGAGTTGTTTCCTTCCATTGATTTCCAGTACAAAAAGCTTTATTTCTTTTTGTTTTAATTAGCACACAGAAGCCAACACCTTCAGGTTTCCAAAGAAATGAGTATGCTGAGGCCCAGCTTCAAGAGATTATCAAAAAAATGCGGGAAAGGTCAAATATCTATAAGGAAAAGCTGAACGACCCAGTGCTGTCTTCACCTGAAGGCAGTCCTACAGCTTGTAAGTGACTCTCAAAATAGCTGTGAATTTGTTGAGCTTAAAACTTGAAAATTATTTTATGGGAACAGAAAATACTGTGATAAATTTTTTGTAAGTTTAGTGTATTTATCCACTGAAAAGGATCAGTTTGTGCCCACTGAATTCAATTTATCCATAGTTCTCTACAACAAGCCAGGTCCTTAGGTACAAGCTCCCTTTGAACTCCATCGCTGAAGAATTTGGGAAAACAAATTTATAGAGGCAATATCTAGAATCATCCCTGTCAAGAAGCTCTCTGGATTTTAAAATAGCTCCCAAATATGTTTATTCACGGAGATGAATCAGAGACATATGAAGAAACATACATATATTATGAGTGGATATTAGTCACTATGATGAGATCTGCTGTGTAAATAAAGTAAATAAAAATCTTACCCTTGACAGCAATCTTCTGGACACACTGAGGACTTTAAATCCAGGCTTTGAATGGATCAGACTCAGCTGATGTTAATTAATCATTGATTTTTTACAAAATATGAAACATAAAACAAATCAATATTTTTCCTCTTCAGAGGAAAGTCTGACTTTTTTTTTCCTTTTCACAAAAAATTGAATGTGGCGATTCTATGTTCTGAAACTTTTTAGAAGCTGTTTATAGCTTATGTGCTTTTTAAAAAACTGTAAAAAAGGGTGCATGAAGAACTATAAATTATACCATCTGATAAAGGAATCCTTTTCTTTTTAATTATTTCTTTGCTCATTTACCTCGTTTGTTCTCTTTGTAGAACTTAAAATCATTTATTTCCTAAATTATTACGGATCTAGTTTGCCAGTTTACTGTTAAGCATGTGTATCCTAACCAGAATTAACAGCATACATGTGTGAACAACATTATCCAGCCCAAAGAAGAAAGAAGTGGGCTCAAAGGTGTGCCACAAGACTTTAATAAGCCTAGAAATATACAAAACCATAGGCTTCCCACTAGTTTAACCTACTGTGTTGTATATCAGGTCTCAGGAGAGGGGAGAGATCAGCCCATGGCACAGGTGTCTTTTCCTATCTCCATTCTCACTGTATGCATTCTTTGCAACAGTCATGGAAAGAGAAATGCCCAGTTGCATTAATGAATGCTGAATTATGAATTAACCTTTTCTTGCAAGTCTTATAAAAGGCATAACTTGTGGGTACTGTTCAGGGAAATAGAGCAATACAGATATACTCTGTAACGTAAGTGCCCTGTTCATGATACCTGATGCACATGTTTATGCCAGTAGTGATTTTATTCTCCAATTCTTTTTCTAATGCATTTAGTATAATAAACTGTAATTTTAGTCACTGCCTAGTGTTTTTAGAAGAGATTTTAACACGATGAAGTTCTTGTTCATGTTAAAACAGGGTGTGGTTATTGAGCCATTATTAAAATGCCACCCTTTGTGGCATCTTATGTGTCTAGCACCAAAGAAACCACCCCCACCAAAAGAAGAAAAAAAAGAAGAAAAAAAAGAAGAAAAGAAAGAGGAGGCAGAAGCAAAGCCAGAGGAGGATCATTACTGCGATATGTTGTGCTGTAAATTCAAAAAACCCCCGCTGAAAAAATACATGGAACATCTGCAGCTACCAGAGACCATAGACTCATACACAGGTAAATTAAAAGCTATGCAATAGAATGGGGTAAAGACTTATTGAAGTGACCTGGTGTTACATAGCACCTGTGAGCCACCATAAGAGACACATTCCAGTTTGCAACTCAGAGGGATGCAGAGGTCCTGCCCTAAACAACATCTTTCCAAACAGGAAAAAGACATGAAAAGCGACACCAGCTGTAAAGATGGTATGCACAAAGATGGTATGCAAACCAACCACAATTAGAATTCAAGTTTCTTGATCTAGAATTTGTACCATTCATTAGGGCCAAATAATTCTTTTCTCAGTTATAACACACATGAACAGCATGCAAAATGATAGTATGAAGTTTCTTCAGATGCATAAAATTCTGTATGCTCTCATTACCTCATCTTTTTTCCTATTTGCAAATTCTTTATGTGACTCCTAGTTCCATCTATATCACTTTAGCAGTGTGTAGCCTTGAAAAAGGGAGAATGCTAGGTTGCTCTGGACAGAATCATTCCAAGAGACTGCAATAAATGTGTCTAAAAGAATGACAATAGACTCTAAGTTCATGCCTGTAAGTTCAATGTTTTTTCTTTCAGATCGCCGTTACGTAGGGTGGCTCATGCTTGTGACAATCGCCTACAACTGGAATTGCTGGTTTATTCCCCTTCGCTATGTGTTCCCATATCAAACCCCAAGTAACACAATATATTGGTTTGCCATTGATGTCATTTGTGATATTTGCTACCTCTGTGACTTACTGATTTTCCAGCCCCGAGTGCGATTTATAAGAGGGGGAGACATAATAGTAAGTACTGGAGGTGGGATTTCCATAGGTAGTAGATGTGTGTTAAAGTAGAATATAGAAATTCCTCCAATCTGACACTTTTTCTTCTCACTATGTCAAATTATGTAACTTTTTTGTTTACATCTATTCTTCTTCATTGACCTGCCATTTTTCACTGACCTTCCATTCTTTTATGGGGGAAAAAACATAACCATTGCCTACATTCTTAAAAATAGAAAAAACAGATTTGAAAGTAACAGATGAGAGCAGTTGAAACAAGCATATAGTCCTCAAAAGGAGTAAATTGGTGAAATTTAACTTGAATCAATGATTATATCACATGTACTCATGCATATATACATCTGTTCGTATGTTTGTGTGAAAGTTTGACCTTTCTATTCCCCTTATACCAGAACCATAGTTGAAGACAGTGCATATTCTGCTAGGGTTGGACAGGATAGGATGTTTTGTAAAAGACTGTGAGATTGTGGGGGTTTTTTTTCTAAAGTCAGAGCAAATCCTTGTAATTTTTAGGATACTTTGAAAATAATTAATTTGAGATATTATCTTTTGGGAAAATATGTACATTCAATTTTAATTCTTACTATTGTTTTTGGTTTATCTTTTTATAGAAAAATCCAAAATAAAATTTTAAGCAAGTATCTGAAAAGGCGTGAAAGTTTGCCCTTAATATACCAAAAGGACATCTAGAATATTAACTTTTCTTTAAAATCTTCCTTGCTTTTGATTCTCTAACTTCTTATAGAAAAAAACTATTTATTTTGGAAAAAAAAAATTAGTTTTAATAACTTCAGCATGACATTACTGTGTCCAACAGACAGAAAATTCAAAATTATATATCTTCAAATGTAATTTGGAACTAGCTTTAACAGTGTTTTTACATAAAATTTTATACATTGTACATACACAATATTACTGATACCTTTAGAGATAAAGCTGTGCAAATATCATTTGAATAGATATTAAATGTGATGCAGTGTAATGTAGTTTCCAGACCAAGACATTCAGCAACTGACAATCTTGCCTAAATCCCACAAAACTCAATTTTGATGAGCAAAGTTAAAGCTCTAACATAGGAAGCTTACATTGTATTTCCCTTGAAGCTGTTTCTACAATTCACAGATTTTAGCACACAAAGAGATCATCTACTGCCTGATCTCCTGCATTTAGTTTAATGCTTAAACTGATAATAGTGAAAGTTGGCATGAAAATATGCTTAAGATTTTAAAGTTCTTTTTAAAGTGTCTCTGATATAAATACAGAAAGTATAAAAATAGATAAATTTTTTTAGATACTTGTGATTACCCTTTCTTATTAAGGTATTAGCCTCAGTTCCCGTGAAGAACAGATTAAAAATGAATAGCTAATCACTGCTAATGAATGCAATGATGATTATTATAATGCTAATAATGCTAGCATGTTAATGCTAGCTTTTCAAGAGCTAATTTTGTACAACACCATCAGAAACACTCTTTGCATTTTTCTTGGAATCACTGCAGATAAATGCAGTTTTTCACCCTGAAATTGAAGGGGTTTGGGTCAAGCACTAAATGGTATAGATGTCTTGAGAGGAAAGTTTTGTGGGAAAAAAAATGTAAGGAACAGATTGGAAAATATCAGACAAATTCCAAGCCTCATTTTTTCAAATAGTTCTAATAAAATCTGATGTATTGTAAACTGGACTAATAAAAGTACTAATTCTCCCTCCATTCATACTTTTAGACTATCATTAATTTAACTGTCATCATCCCTACTATCAGTAGATAATTATTATTGTCGAGTAGCAGAGGCTAATTCTTGACATTCTGTTCTTGACTTTGTCTTTTTCTCCATTCATTATCATTGTAGATAGACAAAGTGGAAACGAAAAAATTCTACCACAGCACTGTGAAATTTCGGGTAAGTAGACCCTGTGTTACTGATATCAATATGAAGTTTTTTGTGCTCCCCCAGATTGCTTTAGGCAGTCTGGTTTTAAAAGCTGAAGGACTTTTAAGATGCGCTTGCGGAGTGGTCTCCCCACCTCCACTCACCAGCCACATGCCTAACATTTTAGTTTTATCAGAACTACAACTGAAATAACAGTATGTATTAAGAATCAAATATACGAGATACTATTAATAATCCACATGAAACAGATTAAGATCTCAAGCACAGAGAATTTAAAAGCAGGGCAAAGCTGCTGGTGTTTTCAAAGAGATAATCTTGCCTGTCAGTGCTTTGGGAAGCTACATGTTTAGCATGCTGACTCTTCAAATATTATTGCAGTCATGATTCAATCTAAGCAAGTTTTTGACAGTAAATAAATGCATGATGATTACTATGAAGTTTAAATTGACCTCTCTGCTCTTCAACAGCTTGATGTGATATCAGTATTGCCATTTGACATTTTGTACTTCTTCTTTGGATTTAATCCAGCACTTAGAGTAAACAGGATGCTAAAGGTAAGCTCTGTGTTAGTGATGAATGGCTAACCATGCATAAATGTTTTGCAACTCAACAGAAAGTTTTTTGTAATATTTAGGAATATGAAATTTAGAAATTGTAAAATATCTTCAGGCTAAGGTAGAATATCAGTAAATAAACCAACAAAAAATACAAGTTATAGTCGAGCCAAATTAAGTGTTTATTCTCTTACTTTTCTTCCAGCTTTTAATTCCTACTTTCAAAAGATATTTGGCAATTAAAGCTGGGGTTTTTTACATAATTTAAATTAAATTTATCTCAAATTACCTGTTTAGTTTTCAAAGACTAAAAAAAATCACTAATTATTGTCAATGATTTTTCCTCTTCTGTTTGTTATGACTGGTGTTTAAAAGCAAAGGAAGGAATTTTAAGGACGATATAAACTATGCACAGAATATTTATCTAGCATAAACCCACTTTTTTATTGAGCCAAAGACACCTGGAATTGTGTAATGAAGGGTCTGCAAAGGGATTAGAACATGGTACACAGCAGGCTTCTCCGCAGCTAAATACATTCCCCTTCAAATAATCAATATGTTGACAAAGAATCGTCTTTCATTTAACATTGTGGGGGAGACACAAGAACTCTGACAATAAAATGAGAGTGTTCTTCAATATTCAACAAAATTTCAACATTCCATAAATCAGAACCGAAATAATATGAAAGAATGGAAAGTTAAATAGGATCCCATATTAGGCAAACAGATGTGTACTGAACAAAAACAAAGAAAAATCTATATACAAATATACAAATATTAAAAGCTATCACTAAAGGTCAAGGACAAATACTTAATAGGAAGAATTTGATACAGCTGCAGTTGATACCAAATAGAATCATCTAGTATGTGGCTGTTGATACATATAGTCACTTACTGGAGAATTACTGGAATTTCAGAAAAAAGAAAAAAGGAGGGTTAATTCATGTAATTCTCTGTGATCAAGTTGTCCAAGCAATTATATACATTCGAGGAAGTAGTCATTTTATCTGCAGCAGTCTGACCAAATCAGCAAGGTTATTTCTGTAGTCAGATTAATGGGACACTTAACACCCAAAAAACCATTTAACTCAACTTTTATCTTTGCTTTTCAGTTCACTGTTTAGTTAAATGTTTGTCATGGTTTAGGAATGGTATTCTTCAATTTAGTATTCCCACTAAAAACCATACACTGCTCCCCCCCTTCCAATTGGAGGCACAAAACGCAAAGATCACGTGTTGAGATAAGAACAATTTACTGGAAAAAATGAGATAAGAAAATGAACAGCAACAGTCACAATATTAATGACAAAAGATATGAGAGGAATTATTCACATGGTAAAACTCCTCAATTAATCGACAATACCACGCAGCTCCCCCTACCACATTTGCTCAATCAGAAGGAACTGCTTCTCTCTGGAATGGAGCCCCTTTCCTCCACCCCCAGCAATGAGGTGAGGTGATACAGAATAACCTCTGGGTCCTCGCCATGTTCCCTCCTGGCTACTGCAAAAATTAGCCCTGTCCTGGCTGGAACCAGGACAATGTTTAAAGAAAGCCTGATTATTGAAAAATCCATTTTCAAAATATGTATGTGAACTAATGTCTGTACTATTATAAAAAGATGTGTACTCAAGAACAGTGATTGGATTGCTTTCATTTTTTTCCCATTCAGCATAACACATTCTTTGAGTTTAATGATCGTTTGGAAGCTATTATGGAAAAAGCATACATCTACAGGTATGTGCTGATAAAACTTGAGTAGCATGCAGAGTTGGGCACAGAATCCATTTCATATGATCCAAGTCACACGATTTTATGAGTTGTCAGTTAAGTGCTGGATGGAATATGATATGTCTTTAACTGTTCAATTTAAATTTTTTAAAATATGTCTTTACTGTAATATTTAAAATAATATATGTAAGGCTTCACTCACATATGAAATCTAGCTCAGTTCAGTTGGCCTGGTTCAGACAAAATATTTAGCAAACTGAGGCTCCTGCCAAAATTTAGTTGATCAAAAGTATCAGAAAGAAGTTTCTTTAGTGAAAGAACTAAAGAAGTTTCTTTAGGTTGCTAGTAGCAGTTCCAAATCCTCAGTAGCTGTTTATTTGTACTTAATAAGAGTTATGAGCTTGAGCCTGTGTCAACATTTTTCTTCAAACATGCTTTCCCTATGAACCTGGCATGTACAGAAGCTTGATCCTTCACTGGATTGACTACATTTGGAATGAGGACCAACTCAACACAATTCTCAAATAGCGATTATAAATGTTGTCTGCTGTGTTCTCACTTTCTGCATTGACAGGAAGAATTTTGGATGCAACTCAGGCAGTCCATGGACATAGTTATGGCAAGTTTCATAGGCCCCTCAGCTGTCACCGATGCTGCTAAGACCCAATGAACCCATCTACTCTGTCACCATTACTGTCATCTACTGTCAATGTCATCAGCCCTAGTTTATCTTGTGCAATTTCTACACCAATAGATTATTTTTTCTGTCCCAGTTTTGGGCCATGTATTGTTCCTCTGTGTTGCTGATGCAGAAACAAGAATATGTTGTTTACCATCTTACTCTATTTCAGAGATTATTGCACTTAATGGTACACTTGATATTTATACATTTAAATGAGATGTTTTATGAGATTTTAAAACTAGTTAAATATGAAAAGGAGGTTGAAACATCATCTCTTTCATATTTTCATGTACCTGTGAAATAAAACGGAAGTTTGAAAGTTCTATGAAAGTATTTTTGAGATACTGACCTTCATAAAGTTTATTCTTATGTAAGAATATAGACTTATATTCTTATATAATGCCCTCTCTTTTCAGTTATGGAAGACTCTTTTGTGGTTTGGTTGGGTTTCTTTTATTTTCTTTTTTTTTTAATTCTTGATGGTTCAAGAGAGGATTTTTCTGAATTTCCATAGGTGTCAGTGTCTGAATCATTGCCTCTCTATCTTCTCCATTTTCTAATTTCATTAAAAAGAATGGGTTTTCTTCTTCTTATGGTTTTTAACTTTTTCTAATGTTGATAAGTTTTAGAGGTAATTGTTTTTAAATTAATTAATTATTTTCCGTATTATGTCTTTTGCATTTTGGAGTAATAACTCAATGACTTTTCTATATCTCCTATAATGTTTGCAGTGAGTACTAGGAGATAAAGTTTTTATATACAGATAATTCTGGATAAAGTAATTAGTTTGGATATAAAAATAATGTTGTGTCTACATGGATTTCAAAGAAATGGGAACAAATTTGCAAACTCATTTTCACTAAAATAAACAGCTTTACAAGGGACAGAGTTTCGCACTATATAAAGGTACGGAATGGGAAATGATTGTTCAGAGGAGAAGTTGAGAAAGGGATGTGAGCAAGATCTCACTGGTCCTGTGAAATATATACAGCAGATGGAAAGACAGAGCCAGCTACTCTGCAAAGCTCTTTCCCTTATTAGACATTTCTTTAGCATGATATTGGTTGAGTTTCCACAACTGTGTGTTGCTTCTGGTGTCTTTGCTTTGCCTGGTCCCAGGCCCACTTAGATTTTCAGTATTAAATCACTTGCAGAATGTAAATTCCAGAATCTAATTATTACAAAGTGAATCTATTTTCTACCTCATACTTCAGAAAGCACCAGCTCCTGGTTTGCTTATCGGCAAATGGAGAACAGGGGTAGTTATACAGAAGAAGAACATAAGCGGGAGCTAAAAAGTCCTAAAAAGTCAAGCTTTTTGTGCAAACTACTGCATTTTATTTTAATGTAGCAATGTTGCTTTGGTCTGAGATCCTGGTATAGTCATAATTTGAGCAATAAGTCACCAATTAACTAAATAATATCAAACTAAAGTTCTACACGGCAAGTGTACGTATGTGGGTGGATTCTCTTCTCAAACTAACTAGTTTGAGTTTGTAGGAATAGAGCTGGCAAAGGTTACTTACATTTTATCTACCCATTGTGATAGATTCAATATGTGTCTAGAGAAATATAAAATATATTGTAGCAAAGGCTTCCAGAGTCTTCACTCAGATCTCAGAAGTCCACTTGAATGGATTCAAATTTGTACACACGACCTTGTATGGTCAATATTGCAATATTACTAGATCACAACAGCTATCTGCTGTTCTCAATAGCTTGCAATCCTGAACAGAGCTATCCTGGAAGGACACCAACTTTTAAACAGAGAAGTGGCATTCATTTGTCAGCATCACAAAGAAGAAGAGGACACTTAGGTAGATTGCTTAATGGCACGGAGAGGTCAAGGAGGGCATGCAATGGCACCTGAAGAACCAGCAAAGGAGTGCATAATGCAGAACCAACCACAGTAATGGTTGATATTATCTCCCATTAACTTGGTTTATAGACCAAACATATTTAGATCTTATTAAATTTTCATAAAACCACATACTCAGTTATTCTGCGCTCCAAATTGCATTGAATCCTAGCTGTAGCAGATAAACTAATTACATACCAGCTTCTCTGTGTTTAGGCAAGTCCTGTACTTTCCCTGCTTATTTATCCCCTGCTTGTATGAATATTTGAATGGAGACTTAAATCCAGGAGATCTTTCTTTTGATCCCCATTCACTGAACAGAGGATATACAATGAGATCATTTTTGTATAAAACAGAAAGCTGCTTGGTACTTAAGTAGTTCATCATTGGTATTCTTCAAAGAACTGGCCATAAGCATAAGAACTGGGATTGGGAGTGATGTAACTCCTGCTGTAAACACTGAATTTGAGAGAATCTACTGCAGGCTTCCTACCACAGCTCTTGCAAAGCAGTTCATTTCTGACCTCAGACATTTCTTGCCTTTGGTTCTCAAGTTTAGAGCCTATCTTGAAGAGAGTTTGTCAAATGCATTAGTTTGTACCCTCTAGCCTCATTAATGTAGCTTCAAATTTGTGTAAATATTCATAGCCATTTAAAGAAGTTGATTATAAACTCCTCAGGGAACCATAATTTAACAGTTACCCCATGTCAAATATTCTAGGAAAGATATTTTTTGACCTTGGACAAATGTGAGAGATGGGTAACTGCCAGCTATTTTTTTCATAGAATCAATACAGATGGGGAATTACCTAGTAGACACTTAATATTAACATTGTTGATGCAAAAAAGGAACGGGTTCTATATTAAAAGGAAGGAAAAATGTAAGTTGTTTTACAGGAATCTGTTGACTTTTATAGGGTCATTCGAACAACTGGATACTTGCTGTTTATCTTACACATTAATGCATGCCTGTATTATTGGGCTTCAGACTATGAAGGACTTGGCAGCACTAGATGGGTGTACGATGGTGAAGGAAACATGTAAGTCCTTTTCTCTTGCAAGAGATTTTTGTTAATTTTGCTCCTTCCTGCCTCCCCCTCCTTTTCCCAAGCCTTTGCTTGCAGAGTATGCCCTTACTTTACAAGTGCTTGAATAGCAAACTTTTAGCACCATGGCTGCTGATTAGCAGCTTTCATTACAAACATATTGGGAGGGCAGGTGCAGTGAATAATCAGTTTACCACTTTCAGCTTTTATAGGTTTATGAGTCAGTGTAAAGCACCAACTTAATTAAACATTTAGAAAGTAACAAGGGTCATAAATTAAACTCACTGATTGCATATCACATGGGAACCATTCGAAGGATTATATAACAATCCCTCAAAGGAAAGAGAGGAATAGTTTAGTGGGGTTTTTTGCTGCCACACAGCATTGTACCACTAAAGTGCAATATTTTAGTCCCTCTACGCTGTGGTGATTGGTCTGAAAAAATTCCACCAACTTTCTCTCATCTTTCGGGAAAATCATGCTTAAAAATGTGGCAGAGTGTTACCAGTGGGAAGGTCTGGACATTGGCACACTTTTCCACACTCTCCTTATGAGAACACTAGGTTGGGCACCAAGTAAGGAACATTTATTAAGATGATTAAGAGGAACTAAGAGAAAATAGCAAAATATATTTTGTGTGTAGTTTTATAAAAACATATCTCATTGGTTCAGTTCTATGAACATTTATTTATTTCAAAAGTCATAATATAAAGCCACAGAAGTTCAGTTTGTTCATTAATTACATTCTTTGCAAAACCACATATCTTACTGCTGTCATAAACCTCCTTTTAAAGAACTTTTCACCTTTTTCTTGGACATGTGCTCCTGTATGCAGTTTTGTCAGACTTCACAAGTTTAATGTGAAGTCACTATCTTGAAGGATAAGAAAAGAGGTTTTGAAAGAAAAACACACTTCATATAAAGCAGCATTGATTTTTTTATAATTAGGGTTATATCGCAAAAAAAATTACATGTCTGAAGTTTCCACACACCACTAAAATACACAGCTTCAGTACTGCAGTCAGGCATTTGAAAGCAGGGTCATGGAGCTCAGTGGGACCACTTATGTAAATGGAGTTACAGACAGGTATTTATTCGCAGGATCAAGGCTTCCAGAAATCTGACAAGAAAAATGCAAAACTAATTTCCATTATAGCTATTTTTGTTAATGTCATTCTTGGAAATATTTTCCTCATAATTAAAAATAAGGTAAGTAAGACTAAAAAAACCTGAAAATTCTGAAATTAGAGTTTACTTGATCTTCAAGTTTTTTAATGCTTCTTCAAAAAAGTTTAGGGAACAGGAAAGAAAGTCTTCCTAGTTTTCACAGACAAAAATCTTTGGCATTTCACTCAGAGAAACAACTGGTAGAAATTATTTACTACTTTGATCACAGACAGTGCATTTGTACCCAGAGGCAATGGCCGGGTTTTTTAATATTTTGTGATATCTCTTCCATGAGGAGACAAAAACATTTCTCAAATAAAGTCACACTGAAATCAAATGGAATTTAGGGCAAATTTATTTTATAAACAATAATAATAAACTGGTAGTTCAAGATCTGCATTAAACTGAGATGCTTAAATAAAATACATATTAGGATATGCGTATATCTTAACACAAGAAAGCTGTTGACCTATTGGAACGAGTCCAGAGGAGAGCTACTAAGTTAACCACAGGAGCACCTGTCCTATGAAGACAGGTTGGGAAATTTGGGACTGTGCAGCCTAGAGAAGAGAAGGCTCTGAGGAGACCTTACAGCAGCCTTCCAGTACTTAAAAGGGCCTACAAGAAAGCTACAGAGGGACTTTTTTACAAGGGCATGTAGAGATAGGACAAGGGGGATGGCTTTAAACTGAAAGAGGGAAAGTTTAGATTAGATATTAGGGAGAAGTTCCTTACTATAATGGTGGTGAGGTACTGGAACAGGTTGCCCAGAGAGGCCAGGTTGGATGGGAGTCTGAGTGAAATCTGTTCTAGTGGGTGGTATTCTTGCCCATGGTAGGGGTGTGGATCCCTTCCAACCCAAACCATTCAATGATCCTACGATTCTATCATATATCCATGTAAACCTCATTAAGCCATTAATTTATCTCATCTTGACATTGCTTGGTGAATTTATGACTTTGTTCTTTTGCCAGTATCTAACTCACACTGGATTATATGGTGCCATGTACATGGAACCCCAAAGAACCCAGGCTGAGCTGCATTTAATAAAGTATACCTTTGTATCCCACTAACAGCAAATGCCTTCTGTATGGAATAGTCATTGCCTTAGAGAATCAGGCATGATATATTATCTAATTGTCAAATATTCAGGGATTTTTGACAGAGAGGCACTGTGTGAACATTAGTTACAATTGGAGATGCAATCTGAACTTAAACCTATCAAATAAGATACTTCCAGGTATCTAGGTATTCATTTATTTGGAGAGCAGGATTTAAGAACAGTATGGGGAAAATCTGTCATGAAAATTTACCAGTGCTCCAGAATATATTATGGCACAACATAATTTCCTTTCACATAGTATTCAGGGTTGACAATATTTGAAGGAAAATAGTCTCACAAAGAATGGGAACACATTCAGAAAGAAGATTAGGCAAACATAGCTACCTAGCTAATTTTAAAAAATGACAGTAAGTAGTCTGACAAATAAACCAAAATTCTAGTGGTCTCAGATTACACTGACCCAAAGCAAATGATCTGGCACTCATTTAGTGGCATTAATGTTTTATGAAGAATCCCTGCTGTGTCCATAAAATATTGCTAGTTATGGCTAAAAACAGTTCTTAAAAATGTCAACACTTCTAGGATACTTTTTTTTTTTTCTTTTCCAGGCTAAAAAGAATAAACACGCAAAAGATTCCTTTATCAATTTGATTACATATATGTTACTGAGCAGGTATACTAACTGATTAATTAAATCCATAACTAACAGCTGTATACACACTCAAACCATGAGAAAAATTATCAAAATAGCTCTTTTGCAAATCTCTGCTATCTCTATTCTTTTCCAGTTCTTGTCCAGATTCTAAAGCATTAGTGTCAATCCAAGAAGACTTGAGCTTTTTTGCAGGGCAGCCTACAGTCAAAGCCTGACATGCAAAAGGCAGTCTTTACTTTAATTCCCTGCAACACACCCAAATTAGCCACACAAGGTGTTCCCAGCATTAAAAGTGCACTCATGAGCTTGATATAATTAGGCAGACAGACCTCGCCCTCCCCTAATGCAGAAGTGCAGCGTCACTACTGCGACACCATAGTGTAGAGTCTATGTAAGCACAGCAGCATGATATTGAAAAGGCCTCTTAATTAAGTGGAGAATTTGAACTGTATGTGTTTATTTACAATCTAATTTAACTACCTAAGTAAGAGATCAATCTCCCTAATTCCTGGAGAAAATGGACAAATCCTTTAGAAAAGTATTCAGGGCAGGAATGTAATATCATTGTTCTGATTTGTCCGAAGGAAGTATCTCTCTTTCATCACTGTCCATTGAGAAACTAAAAGTAGGGAGGTGAAATTCTCATGCATACCCTCCAGGTCAGCAGTAAATTTAGGCAAAACAAATAATTTCATTTTCTTCATGGTATACTTCTGCTGTTTGCAAGTCATCCACAAGCAATCTGCAAAATTCTTTCAGACACCTATTTGCATCTCAGTTATGTTCCTCTTTAGCTTGCTGCCCTCCTGCTCTGGGCACAGACTTAGTGGACATCTGTAAGTCCCAGAAAATGGTCACTGTATGTGTCTAGAACAACTCCACTTCTTTAGTATGCATTGTCCAATGAGCAGTGAGACTGGCAAATCTTAGAATGTGTCTCATGGGTATCAGCCGTACATTGCTCTTGCAATAGGTCTGTTGTGTTACAATCACAGCACTTGCCATACAAAGGCAGTTTTGTGCTTCCAGACAAGCTGTGAATGCACAGCCCAACACATATATCACATACCCAATGCTTTCAGACCTGCTACCTGCAGCCATACATTTTAGGCAAAAGCTTTCTAGTTTACTCCATTCTGTCTGAGATCATCATACCCACAGTTACCTGATGAGCACATCACTCTAGAAAAAGAGGTACCAAGGAGGTCGTTAGATTACCAGTTTATAAAGGCCACTTCTTTACTCTGCTTAAACCCATCTTGATTGTAATGTGAGAGGGTCAAATGTGATAGCCCTGAAATAATGCTTCCCTGGGCTGAAATGAGTATGTAAATACAACCTGAAAAACTGAGAGACATGCACAAAGACTTGATTTACCCACATTAACCAAAACCATGTAAGAAGTTTAGTGTATTTTAAAATGGACTTTTATGAAAAAGATATTTCTATTGGCATAATATTATAAGGTAACTGATTTTCAGTGTTTCTGAATGTTTTCATACCTTGGACTTATTTTAGGGAAAAATCTAATAGTTTGATTGCCTGAAGGATAAACATACTCTCTATGACGAGCAGAGGGAAAAATCCCTTTCTTGTCTCATGTTGTTTGCTTCAACAGTAAATTTATAGCAGGGCAGTAAGCTGTATGGTGAACAGTGATGGTTTCCAGACACAAGCTAGTAGGAAGCAGAGCTGCTAATACTGTTGAAATAGGAGTCTGTTTTTCCTGGGTTTCCTTAAACAAAATTTACAATCTCATTTCTCCCTTTATTAGGGAAGAAAGCAAGCTGCTCTGTATTTCAACTGTGTAACTTTCAGATGATAATAAAACCAAAAATGCATAAATGGAGAAAACCTGTCCCTAAGAGATAGTGAATATCATGTGACTTTGCCAGTAGAAAGTTTCTTTTTAAGTAAAATTAAAGAAGAATATAGTGTATTAACTACATCTTCAGAAAGGAGTAGGCAGATGTCAAAAAAACTCTCACGTTTTGTATATACAACAATGTAAAGAAAAATTCCTTTGAGGAGCTGCTTTCATTCTGTGTAGACATTCCGAGAAATAAGATTATATTTTCTATCATGGTGGAGTCAGGAAGCTTAGCATGCAGGGCCGTTGTAGGTGAAGGAGTTAGTTAATTACTTTTGTTTCCTATAGTAACTAGATCAGAAGTAATGTTAATTTCTTTACTTTTATATTACTAAATTACACATGTTTCAAGCACTACAGCATTCTAAGTTATGGCAAACAAGTATGATATTAATATGCCTTATATGGTAATTCCTATTAGCCAAACTAGAGGCATCGTTTTATACTCAAATCTGTCATTCTTCCAAAACAGATCTGCATCTTTTTCATACTATTTTTTTATGCTACAGAACTCTAGGATAAAGCTGCAACTTATGCATACTTAGTTGGAAACATGCATATTTGAGTTGTTTTTTTTTTAATCCAGGTGAAAATATTATAGTGGTATAAACCAGAGGTTCATTTTGCAGCCCTAACATATAAAAATGATATGATGGCAAATATGCAATGAATTTCTTAATTTAAGGACTCTAAATGAAAATGGCCAGTTCCAGCTGTTAAAATCTAAAACTAGAAAACTGTGATAAATATGATCATTGTTACTGCATTTCATTAATCTGCAACCAAGAAAAAATGCCTTGGTAATGAAAAGCAGAAATCAATTGCTTGGTAAAGCAAATTTTAGGTGAAAAACTTGGAAAGACTTTCGAGTGATTTAAATAAAAAACCACTCATTGGAATTGGTTGTGAGATTATTTTCTCATATTTGCACAAAACAAACTCTACATTTGTATTATCACAGAAACCACTTATTAATAGTAGTGGAGTTCATATCTTACCAAGAGAGGACTTTAAAAGTAGAGAGAAATAAATAAAATGTACACCTGAGGTCTGCAAGCAGATCAGGTGGCCTCAGATTCAGGGTAAGCATAAGAAGATGCATGCTAGAATTTCTAATTCAAAATGAACATTCCCAGAAGTATTTCTTCTGTGTTTTAGTGTTTGGGAGGTTTCTGTTTGTTTTTTTAATTATTATTTCAAACTCAATAAAATTCAACAAATAGAAGGAGTCATCACTGCTTCAAAAGCAATAGTCATAGCTGAAATAATAGAAAATCTCACTGTACAATTAAGGAAAATGAACTTCCACTCCTAATCATCAGTGAAGTTGAAGTCTGATAGTACAGAAATGTAGCAAGTCAGCCTCTAATTAACAGGAGGCTTTTAAAAGTATACCTAAACCAAGACTTGTTTGCTCAGAAAAGAAGAAAATGGTAGCATACTTCTGACAATGATTTGCATTACTTGTGGTGCCATGTTCTAGAATGAAATTTAAACCAGAATTTTAGAGATGCCAAGGCACTTTTCCAAAACATTCTGTCCACGCCCTTTGTCGCTTTCACAAACTTATGTTATCATACTAATAGAAATATTTGACTTGAATGCAATAGGCTTTGTCATGAAGGCTGTACAAAGGGGGCTGTACAAACAGAACAAAAAATTTTGTCCACACAGCTCACACTTCAGGTATGAAAAGTAACAGATAGCAGATGGATACTGTGAAGGAGTTAATATAAGCCATTCATTGAAGCAGAGTCTTAGTGAGTGACCACTGCTTACTGCTGTATTTATTTGGATTCTAGGTCAAGAGAATTCTGATAAAAGTCTTAAAGTGGTTTTGTAGCCATTAATGGACAGGTCTCCCCTGGAAGGAGGCAAAGTAGTGGAGAAGGCAGGAAAGTGTTTGTTAAGGTGACAGAAGGAGTAGTGAAGGCCAGCAACTAGGAGACGTTAATACAGGAATCAGCCTTTCAGTGCTGAGTGGTTTGGAGAAGCTGGATAAACACACAGCTTGTGCAAGCATGTAACTTCTGTTTGACATAACCCAGGAGGCAGAGCCAATAAAGGCTGCTGTGAAGCAGAGTGGGAGGAAGACCAGCTTGGTTAAAGGGGTAGGAATGGACACAAGAAGAACACCGCATTTGTCGTTCCCACAAATTCGTACTGATATCATCAAGTGAAAGCCATGAAAGAGACCTTCAGATGTCTGAGCATCTATAGACTGCTACAGAGAGATTCTGGGAAGTCTCTAACATTTTTACACTGCTTTTAACATCATGACATCTTCACTGGTAGCATCCTAACACTGTAATGTCCATCTTGGCAATTTTTTACACGAGTCATCTGTAACACTACATAGAGTGTTACTAGAAAACAGTAACAGTAGAAAACAGTAAGCAAGTACTGCACTTCCCATATATTCTTATTTTGCTGTCAGTGAGAACATTCAGCTCAACCTGATTTATGTAACTATAGCATTTGTAAATTCATAACCCTTTATAAAAATGCTGAAAGTCTTTTGAACTGAAAAGTGTCACTGAAAGGCCCAACTCAGACAGGTATATGTTTAACTTCAACCACATAAGTACCTACAGTCTCTAATAAAAGTGCTGTTTGTGTCCACAGGTATCTGAGGTGTTACTACTGGGCGGTTCGCAGTTTAATCACCATCGGTGGCCTTGCAGAACCACAAACGCTGTTTGAGATAGTTTTTCAACTGCTGAATTATTTCATGGGTGTCTTTGTCTTCTCCAGCTTAATTGGTCAGGTACATTAAAAAAAAAATCGTTAACAAGTTAAGTTCAAATTACTGCAATGTAGTGATAATATATTCAATTTAATGGAGTTTAGTTCTGGGAAAAAGTTTAGCTTCCATCCACTATTCTACTGTCATCCCTACTTATTCTTCTGACAGACAGATGTGTTTAATCAGTTACCATTTTTGCAGCTATTTTGCACAAAAGCTGATTTAAAACCAAGACTCTGCAGGACACAGATGATTCTTGAAACTATTTATAATTCCTTTTTTTTTACTTACTCACAGCCAAGGAGACAGTTCCTTGACATTCATGTTATACTGTTAAATCTGATATAAAAATTATAGTTGTTGAATAAGTCACATTCAGTACTACTACCAATAGAATACTGTTAATGGAAGTCCCATGATTTTTGCTGAACTAGAATTCTAGTCTCTTCCACAAATTATAATATATATGTTAATCTGAAAATCAACTGGTTTCTATTTATCTTGGTTCTCATTTGGCAGAAGGGTAAAAAAAGGACCATAGCATAGCAAATCAGTTATATTTCCAAATATTTCCAGTTTTAAATCCACAGGTTTTAAAATACCTTGCTTACAAAAAAACAAATGCTGTGGTTCCTATGTGAGATTGTGTCTTATCAGTTTCTGTAGAAATCATTCCAGACTTTTTGATTTGTATATGCCTGTTATTGAAAGAATTATCAAAAAACCCAAAAACCCTGAAATTTTTTATTTTTAATACAGTATTTGAAAATTTCAACCAAACAGTTAAAAATTGCATATGTTTCTTGCTCTTTAGAAGTGTAAGAAGAGGTAACTGTCACAAAAGAGAGTCTTGCCTATAGGATTTTAAATTCATCCAAAACCAAGGATTACCAAAAATAAAAGAAAGCATTCATATAAAATATTTCTTCTGGAAAACAAGTACATAGAATTAAACTTCAGAGTTTTCACATTTATAATTGATTCCTAAGTTTTTGTAATTGCCAATGAAAGCCTCATTCCCTAAGAAGATTTTGCAGATTAGTTTTTGCAACCAGTGTAGTCATTTGCAGACTCAAACTTTAAAGCCTAACACACAAATTGCTTCATTGCAGTTTGTTTGTTATAGTTCCTGTTTACAAAGAGCTCTTAAAATAACTGAGTTATTCCTGGTTTAGCACACTTGCTTAAATATTGTTATTCCCATTGCAATCAAATGCATCCTTGTAATAAAGAGCAACTTTCAGCCCACGGCTGAATCCTTGATGCTAATCCTTGGCAGCTGCCAGATGAAGATTCCAGATTCCACTAAAAACACATTTAAATACTTCAGCTTTTGAAGACGGAATATCTATACTTCAGCTTTTGAAGACGGAATATCTATGAACACGAAATCATCCACTTTCTAAAAACTGAATTACATTTGTGTTGAAATGTTAAATAATGTTCCTGCACTAAAAACTTTTAGGTCAGCTTTCAGCTCACAGTACTTAGGATTGATCTCTTAACTACTTAAACAGTGGCACAATCTCAGTTCTAATGGTGTCAGATGATGTTATTAGAGAAACTCAGCCCAGTTTGCTTCACTTCTGACTTGCATTGCATGCCAAATGCAGAATAGCTTTATTACGGATTTTTAAGAAAAGCATTATCTATAATTTTCATCCATGTCCAGAAATATGAGACAGAAGAATAAGCTAAACACCAGAAATTATTCCTCTAAAACCATAATTACACTTTCCAACACAATCAGATTAAATCTGTAATGCTTCTGAAAGAGCGGATGAAGCACCTATTGAAAACATGCAGCTGAATGTAATATTATTCAGTGATTTTGCAAACAAGTGGTTCATTATTTTTATATATTGTTGGCAAGATATTAAAATCAAGACTATTTTTGCTGAAATGTGTAACAACAATTGATGTTTGCAGATGAGAGATGTAATTGGAGCAGCAACAGCAGGTCAGAACTACTTTCGTTCCTGTGTGGATAACACTGTGTCCTATATGAACACTTATTCTATTCCAAGATTGGTCCAAAATCGTGTTCGAACTTGGTATGAATACACATGGGACTCTCAGGGAATGCTGGGTAAGGATTTACAATTCCAGTTATTTAGCATGTCCAAGTGAAAGTGTATAGATACAGATACAGGGTAAAATTCACATTTCTCCTTTTCTGAGTTGCATGCGGGAAGTGAGAGGAGGCTGCTCAGCTTTGGAAAAAAAAGAAACTACAAAGCAATATGACACTTACTACTTCACAAATTCAATTCATTAATATAATGTTCTGGTAATAATTTTAGACAAGATATATTAAACATCTTAGTAAAAACCTATTAGCAGCTTCCTCATGTGAACTCATAAATAGCTCCATTAAGTTATTTTTCTGTACAAAGCTCATTTTTATGGACATTCCTCCATTCTTCCTTTTTTTTTTTTTTCAGATGAATCAGAATTACTGGAACAGATGCCAACAAGAATGCAATTAGCCATCGCAATTGATGTGAACTTTGCCATTGTCAATAAAGTGGACTTATTCAAAGCAAGTAATTTTACAAGAGAATGCAGAAATGTGTGGTATTCCTGAGACAGAAACCTTGTTCTGTGCATCTTGCAATACTTAAGGACATGTTCGTAAATACGCAAGGCAAAATAAGTCTAAGAAATGTCTCAATGGCAAATAAAGCCAAGTGCCTGCATTTGAATGTGTTTTTTTGTCAAGGCAGTGATTTTTAAAAAAAGCAAATAAGATTAAGACACAGTCCTGTTATGACAACATAAAGTTGATGGTATGGTCAGACTGTGAGTTAATTAATCTGAAGAGTCAGACATAGAATAATCTAATTTTTAGCACATTTCACCTTGCTGTATGCTGCCCAGCTCTGCCTGAAAGATCTCCCATGCTATGTGTTCTGGCAACATAACTTTCATGTAGTGAATGCTGCATTTTAGTAAGTTTTTGTGCAAAGGAGCTTTCTCTTTATTTATTACAGTAGTTTTCCGGAGCTAAAATTTAAATGTGTACTTAAAATTGGCTTTCTGAGACAAAACTAAGAAGACTCTGAATTTTTAGAAGTAGTCTTGACATACAGGAAATTTGCTTGTTAGGATATTTTTAAGAAATCACATGAAATATCTGTATAAATGTTGCATGGCTGTATGGTTTTTCCACATTTCCTGAAGACATGGAATTCACAGATTTATACCCACATTTGATGTGATCTGGTTTTTTTCCCTGGATCAGTAAAAAAAAAAAATTCCCATAAGATTCCCATAACAGACCCATAAAGCTCTGATCATAACACTAACTGAGCTTCCACAGCAAATTTGGATGTACGGAAGCTCACTTTGTAAAAAATGAAAAGATGTTCCAGCCATAGAGAACTTTATAAGTATTTGAAATAACATCTCTCAGTCTTTTCTCAGCTCTAATAGCTGATCTTTATGATGATTTGAGTTTGCATTCCACTTATTAATCCCTTGGTCATTCCTGTATTGTTGGTATTTGAAGCCAGTGTAAGCACTAATAGTCACTTTTGCTACTGAATTAACGGAGCAATCAACTCTAACTATTTTAACAGGGCTGTGATACCCAGATGATATATGACATGCTGCTAAGGTTGAAATCCATTGTGTATTTACCTGGTGACTTTGTCTGCAAAAAGGTGAGCATTTTTGTCTTGTTGAAATAATAATTATATTACATAAGAAAAAGAGTTCCTATATTGGTCAACAATGTCCTTTAAATAAAATGAATCCCAACTGAATTAAGACAGCATAAAAGTAATTAAGGTATTCTGTGTAATAACAAATGTGCTCTCAAATTTTACACACATAGTAGGAAATAAAACCCTGTTGGAACCACCTCCTGCTTGGATGCATGTTGCATCTCATCCTACTCTACCAAGGAGATGCTGCATGCAGGCTTGGAGGACCAAGTGAAGAGACAGGAAGTGCAAGTCCATACATTTTCAGTCCTGGCTACATTGTTGCAGCCTTTTGACTTTTAAGATGAAATTGCTGCTTTGCCTCATAATATTGGTAAACCCGGAAACTGTCGTATTATTCTAACAACAAAAAACACTGCTAAAACATGGCTCTTTATGTGTTTGTGTGCCCAGGGAGAGATTGGCAGAGAGATGTACATCATCAAACAGGGTGAAGTTCAAGTCCTTGGAGGTCCTGATGGTACAAAAGTCCTGGTTACACTAAGAGCAGGAGCTGTATTTGGGGAGATCAGGTACGTTCATCACTGTTTTTAATACTTTCTTTGGAACTGGTCAAATAATCAATGGTTGTTTAACTTCTCTGTGGTAAGCATGACAGCTACCATAGAGAGGCTCAAAAGTAAGTAGGATCAACAAAGAGGACACTGAGCAAGGAGATGCAGCTAAGTGAAGGAAAATCTAAGCAAAGCATAAGCAATAAATATGGCAAGATCTGAGACCAATGTTTTGGTCAATGTGCACAGGGATATACAGACAAATTTCTTCTTTGGCATTTTAAAGATTTGACACATCTCCCTGTTACACAGTCTGCAATACAGCAGGACCAAATGCATTTCATTGCCTGTATAATGAGCCGAGGTGCCCTTAAACAGCAGAAGGCAAAGATGAAAATTAATTTCCAACAAAATCGATAAAAAAACCTAAAATAGCAAATAAAAATAGTTCATTTAGAGCTGAAGTAGGGATTAAATTGATGAAAATCAGGCATCCTAATTTGAAAAAAAATTTATTTAAGAGCATACGACACAAGAAAAAAGCTGATAGACCATATTTTTTTTTTGTCTGAGTTTATCTGGAGGAGACATTTTTTTTCTGGTGGCTACAAATGGTTTTTATATTCTCCATGTGCTTGCTATGCAAAATCCATTAACTCTTATGTGCTATGTTCCCCAATGAGCCAATCAAGTGCTAGTTTTCAGCCACTGCACTCCCCTGCTGAGGTTGGCCTGAGGAAAACTAATAAAATACATGTGCTGCCGCATGTGATAAACTGGATCCTTGGTTTTCTTCCAGCTGTTTTCCTGTTACTGTTAATCCTCTTGCTGGTAGGTTTAATCTGCCTTTTGAAAAGCGGTAATCAGCTCTGTGTCAGGTTTACATTTGTCTTCTACTTGTGTCTCTGTTTGTAGTAGGGGAAACATTCTGTTTATCCGGTGATGTGTGTGCAGAACTTGCATAGACTTCAAGTGGAAAACATCTGATATATCCAATAGATAATGAACTTCTTCATTGAGTGGGAAAGTGAAATTATACCAGCTCTTTGAAAAAAGGTTATTTGAAGGTTATTATTTCTCTGTGTGACAATATACTACCCGAGCAAAGCCTCCAAACAAACGGCTGCATTGTAAATTATGTGGAAAGGTTGAGAATGAAATCACCGCTAAGGACTGAATAATGAAAAGACAAAAGGAAAAACTAAAGCAGCCCCAATATTTAACACACACATGGAGTGAGAACTTTATATTTTAAACTGAGAAATTATAATGATTGGTTTCAAAACAAGGAAGGGATTTTCACACTTTTGATCTGATACAGGTGAGTGTTTGTTTCCACGTGAAAACCACACAACAACTTTTAAAGATTCATTTCCCAATATCTGTTACTCTTTACATAATTGCCAACATGTCCAGGAAAACCCTCAGCAATGCTATAACGCTACACTTCTAGTCTTGTTTTATTCATCACTGACCTACTGCAGCAGTAAACTCATTCAGACACATGTAATTTGCATATAAAATGTCAGGCAGCAGATAAACTTGAGGAGAAAAACCGCAGTAACTGGCAGACATGAAGCACTAAGTGTATTGGTAGAGATATACTCTTCCTTGTGGCAAAACACTAGAAAATAATGAGTTTGTATTGTGCCTTTCTATGTAAGTTTTGTCAAGGTCTTCTGAATACAGAATACCAGAAGAAAATGGAAAAAAATATTTTTTAATGGAAGAAATACTTACTTAGGCATAGGAATTTTCCCCTCACTACGTAGTGTGGTTATAGCCTGATATCAGGCAGATTTCCTTCGATTGCCAATTCAAGATTTCTTTAGAGAAATACATCAGCTTCTTTCTGAGTGGTTTAAGTATATGATTGATAAAACACTTGCTACTTAATCTCACTCTCTTAAAAATGCATGTAAATGATGCTTAAAAAGTCTCCAGTGGCAAAGGAATTGAAGAAAATAAAAACTGTGTATTTCAAAAAAAATTCCCTGAATTATATTAGACTACCAATGGAAGACTAATAATCAAACGCGTCCTTTGCCAATTTCATCCTTGAAAATTATTACAGGAAGAGATTAAGTAATAGGAGTTCCAATTAACATCCTGCCCTGCCTGCATAGATATCAGTTTGGGGAAGTAAAATAATTTCAGAATCAGAAGCAAACAGACTGTTGCCTTAATGAGAGCCTGTTAGCACACACAATTCAGAAAGAGAGAAATTCAGTTATAACAACACTTCATTAGCCCAGAGAAAGTTATATTTTAAGCCAGATGTCCTCATTCATCCATTTACTGGTATTTTACTAGAGCTATTTCCTATCAGAAAATGGTAATTCTGGAAAAACTAAAACATTTCTCCATCTTATGTAAATTTTTGACAGGAAGATCCCTAAATGTTTGATCTCAGCTTTAGCTTTCAGCTGTTTTGTAATTTTAAACTTTATTTAAAAAATCAAAACTACCAGGAATATTTAGTTCTGTGAAAGATTACATTTTCCATCACTTTGGTCCAGGATTTCTCTCGAAGTGGTAGCTGCTGCTTTTCAATGAGTTTGCCCTGTGGAGCTTGAAATCCTGCTTGGAAGCAAGATCCAGACCTATTCCTCTTTCCTGACTTACCAGTTCTCTTCACAGAGGTGCCAGGTTGAGCCACCACAACCCTGCACGTTCAGCTGATAACACACACCATTTCCTGATCCGTTTGCTAATTTCAATGAGCACCAGCTTCTTACAGAGATCAGCTATAAAAAGCAAATAGATAAGCTGTCATCACTTTGATAACTTTATAGCTTGAAAATTAATTTGCTAGCATAAGAATTCAAAAGTTATTAACTCATACTAATATTACAGCATTTCAGGCTAAGAACTGAAGTAAAAAACATTAGGTAAATAAAGCAAATTTCACAATTAAAATAGATATTACATTTCCAAGAACCATTGCAAGGCAAATGTATCTATTTTAAAATATTTAGTCATGTAACTATTCATACACTAACCAAAAGAGATTCAATGCTGACATACATAACACTGATGATTCTTTTTGAGCACAGACTGCTTTACTTGTAAAATTCACCTCACATCATCACCATAATGAAAAAGCTGATCGCTTTAGTCCTCGTCTACCTTGATAAAATGAGCTTTCTGTTAGGAAAGCCTAAAAATGATTTTTCAATGACTTGTTGAGAAATGATTCATCAGAGCTCAAAAACTGTTTGCAATTTTCTTTAGTTGCTTTTCGTATTATGCAAAGAGTTTTATTCTATCTGAGGAATTGTACAGAATTGTTTAAAGAGAAGACATTAAACTGTATTTTCAGCTTGAGTTCATATACTGATTGCTGTCTTGGCTTGCAGAAAAACACTCTTTGTGTGCATGTAAAAACAGCCTTGCACACACAGTTGCAGAGGTCTCCTACTGTCCTTTATAAATTAAATATATTATCTGTATGATGCAATATTTAGAAATGTGTTGTGGAAATATATTTAATATTAAAACAAATACTTATATAACTTTGATTAATATTTTAGATAGGTATCAAATCTTGTTTTATGGGGCTCAGACCATTTTTTTATTAATAATTTCAAATTGAGATAATACTAAAGGTTGTCTAAAAATATTAATTCACTGGGAAATCTTCAAGGGAAAAATTTTAGGGTAGATCTTGAATACAGCGATAGAGCAATTTTAGTACTAAGAGCAGAATGCAAATTCTCTTGCTTATCACCACAGCTGAGAGGTGAAGTCTCTTCATTTGTTTAATGCAAGGTGAAAAATTTAATTGTTATTTGGACATATTTTTTTTGTTTTAAGTATCCTTCCTATGACCAATTGCTGCTGGCTAAACTGGTCTAACGCCTTACTTTCAAAACAAAACCCCCGTCTTTTTCTGGCAGACACATTTGTAACTGTCAGTCTGAAGTCCTTCCTAATCTGTATCATTCAACTTGCCAACATTCAAACATGAGATATGTTATGTGAGAAAACTGAAAAACAGAGTCTGGCAGAAATTATTTACTCAAGAAAAATAAAATTCTTGGAGAATCATTCATTCACTGTAAATTAAGCTGGCCTACTTCTGATGTAAATAATTTTCAACAATAAAATTGAAGAAATGCCATGTTCACATGAGGACTAAAACAAGTGCAGGCCTTGCTGTGGGTGTCTCAACACAAATGTCTCTGTGTAGCAAAACTTTTTACAGTCCTTAGCATCTACCTGACTGGCAGTGACAATTTGCCTTCCTGAGACAAGAACATATTTCTAATCCAAATTGTACAGGGCCTTTACAGAACATCAGATTGAACAGCCAGGTACATAAGTGAGCTTTACAACGATTTTGATGGAGAACCACTAGCAAAGAGGTTCCTCACTAGGGCAAGTAACAATGTGACTGATGATGTTTATTTTCATTCCAGCCTACTAGCTGCAGGTGGAGGAAATCGAAGGACTGCCAATGTGGTGGCTCATGGTTTTGCCAACCTTTTCATTTTGGACAAGAAAACACTAAATGAAATCTTGAGGCACTACCCTGACTCAGAAAAGCTTCTCATGAAGAAAGCAAAGTATGTCCTAACAACAGTTTTTAAGTCATATCATTTAGTTTAAGCAGAATGGACAGTTGTGACTTCTAGACAAATTCCTTTCGTGGAAGAGTAAGAGATGTAAACACATTTGTATTTAGAGGTCAGATTAGCCTGGTATTTTATAGTGGAAAGCAGGGTCTTGGCAGGAATCCCAAGGGCTGTGTAAGTGTGGTAAGTAGAATGAAATCCTGAATGTAGTTGCCTTCTGCATCGTATTTAAGGTAACAAAACAAATAGGAGATAAGGATACATACCAGGACTCCTTACATAGTCAAGAAAGAAACTGCAGAAGAGATGTCAGTTAAGGAGTAGGTTTTCAAAGATGCAATAAAACGCAATTAATTCTACAAAGATATGCTTCAATGCACCCGCAGCATTGTATGCATTTCCAAAACCTTATGCAGCAGTTAGGAATGGATTTAAAATAAGGCCCGACAAGATGGGAGTACACAGATTAGAAAGCTGTGCATTTTGTTCAAAAGCATAAAATTATGACAAAATTAGTACCTTGCTACCTTGTAAAAGGTCCAAAAACTCAAAAGAGTTTGTCGTCATTAGTATACTTCAGCACTCTTGTTCTCAATTGTTGCCTTGAATTGCTATCAAAGGTTGGAAGGTTGGTCCCAGACTTGAAATTTCATCAGAGAAGACTAAACATAGCACACGAGTGATTTTTTTTTTTTTTTCATGGAAGTGCTAGCAGATGGCTGTATTCAGCATGTTGCAACATTCTGGTTGTCAAACAACAGTACCTTGAGAATCATCATGCCCCTGAGGAACAAGGATCCTAGATACAGAATGTGCTTATTGCCCAATTTTCAAAACCAGCATCAAAATGTAGAAAAGCAGAACAAATCCAGTGCTCCATGGTCCCCAGAACTTATCTTTCCTGACTTCTCTCTAGCTTCTATTTAAACAGTAGTATGACCATCATTACTCGTTATTTCTCTCTGCCCCACATTACCTCTTCTGACTTCTTGCCCGCCCTGATCATATTTTGCCAATCCATTAAATTCTGCTTCCACCAAATAGTCTTTCTCAACTGCAGAGCTTAATCATCCAGCCTTAGTACCTGCACTCCCATTTGAGCTCACAGCCCTCTCTAGATATCAGACTGAATACAGGATATTCTGTTTAATTTTAAACATATGCAGTACCTGCCCTGTGCTGAAGGTCAAGTATTTTGCCCAGCTGTCTAGGCATCCACTAATTCTGCCAAAACTAGGCACAAAAAGGAAATGTGTGCACTGATTTGATAAGGATTGCAGTTATGTTCAGTTTTGGAAAGAAGTTGCCAGTTGCTTTGCCCTGGTAGGTTTACATTAGAGTTTTCTGGGGCCATCTGACAACTTTAAAAGGCTCCTGAGTTTATTTCAAAACTCAAAAGATTTATTCAAGCAAGAAATTTGTTCTGTCATCACCTGCCCGATACCCACATCTTTACATAACAAAGCCATGCAAGTTGCTGAAGTGTACTTTTATAATTTATGACAATAAAACTGAAAAAAAAAGTAAAAGCTCCACTTCTGAAATTACTCAAGTATCAAAGTAGAAGATGCTGGAGAAAATTATAATATTATAGGATTTGCTGTATGACAGACTGCAGGTATAGTCCTTGTTCATAAAGAGCCTTAAGTCTTCAAAGGATAGAAAAGTTGCCTTGAAAACTGTACTGTAATCTAATAGACACTGAAAGCAGGGGAACCCTCTGCTTTTCACTAGTTTCATCTATCTCAGATCTGTCATCTAATCTTTACCCTCGACATTCATTCTCACTTCTTGTCATTATGGCTGCAAACCAGTACAGCTACAGAATGGCGTGAAAATCTAGTCTGCCATATGATTGGCAGTAATGTTCATATCTTCAGGGTGTCTTCTTCTACTGAAGAAGACCAAAAATAAGTACCACTGTCTAACCTGACCTATGAGAGATGAGCCATGCTGGAATTTAGTTTGGTAAACTATTACTTCCACAAGTATCAGCTGGACTCCCAATAGAGCATTAAATGCTCTCTGAATTTGCATCCAGAAGTCCAGGCAAGAGACTGACACCTCAGGTATGGGGCACCCATTCCCCTCCACACCTCTTTTCTCCCTATAAAACTCTCATCTGCTTTGTGACACCTTAATTTGAGCCAGCACCTGTTTATTCTCCAGGATATAGATAAGCAACTCCAAATCTGAACAGTTTCCTCCAACTCTACCAGAGCCTGGGGTAAAACCCTTACCATTTCCAGTTTTGCTCTTATCACTGGACCTGGGAACCAAATAAAGTTTGTCTGTAAAAGCTGCCAGATTTTCATGCATGAATGTGGCATTTCAGCTTAGCAGGAACTTTGCTCGTTTTCACAGCACTGTTTTGTGTCCTCGTTCCCTTCCATCTCCAGGGTGCTGCTGAAACAGAAGGGGAAACCTCCTCCAGGACCACCAGTACAACAACCACGAGGCTTGGCCAGTCTCTTCGGGCAGAAACAGGAAACTCCAAAATTGTTTAAAGCGATGCTTGGAGCCAGAGGAAAAGATGGCCTTGCTAAGCTGCTGCAGCTGAAGAGACAACAAGACGCTGAGGTAAAGCCACAGAAAATAGAGCAGAATCTTGCAGGTGCTGAAAGATACTGGGATGGCTTGGGCAGAGTAGGTGAAAATTTAGACTTACTGGAATCAACAGCAAAAACTCTCAGTAGCTGAGATATAACCACTTTCCTAATATCTGTAAACACTGATTCTAAAATTTGGCTCAAATCTTTGTGAACCTGGACTCTATGCAGAGCAGAGAAAAAAAAAGTAAGCAAACAAAAATCCTCAAAGTCTATAAAATAGACTTTACAAAGGCCCCGAGGGCATCTGATCTTCTAATTTTATGTAAACAACAGTAAATACAGAAATGTCTTAACACAGTAATCTGATCCAGCTGACTCGGGCACACGGTGAACTTTCCAATTCAGTGTCAGATCTCTGGTTGTTACAAATCCTGAAGACAAAATGTAAAGCGTAGCCCACACAGACAAAACTGATTAAATCTCTAATATATTGCACTTATGAGAAAACTGTTATTTTAACTGATAAAAAATAACTCTAACATTATACTATATTCTGAGAAATGAACCTGCTCAGTTCTACATATTTACCCAAAGTTGACAGAATCCTTTTCTTTACAGCTGAACTGGCTGGGGTTTTATTTAAGTTAAATAAAGAACTTACACAAATAATTACAACACTATGATTAGAGCAGAAACATTGCTCAGTTTAATGTTACTTGTGAACTTAATTGCAAATAGGCTTGGCCAAGGAACTGGGGCTGTGGGTAGTATGCCAAGATTTACGTAACACTTTTTCCTTCTCCACTAGTGTAAGTACATAAAGGAAGGCAAGACCTGAGGCAGGGTTCTGTGCCCCAAAACGGGCCTGTTTCATCCTGCTATATTAGTAAGAAGCAGATACTATCATTATCCACAAACTTTTCCTAGGTTTTACACTGATATTCTAATTCTGAAATTACATTTCTCATTTAGAAACTGATTCTCAAGCATCTAAACAGAAATTTACATATGTTGCATACCGCTAATCACAGTTGTCATGCTGTGCCTTTCCATGGCATATACAAAATAGAACTACTTCCAGAATTTCTTCTGCGGTATTGGAAAACATTAAACTTCTTGTTTCTAGGAAGCTAAAGCTGAAGCAGAGACTAAGCCTAAAGAAGAGGAGAAGATGTCTGAGAAGCCCGCAGCCTCCTCTGTACCCCCTGCTCCAAAGAGCGAGCCAAAGGCAGATGCTAAGCCTGCAGTTATGCAGAGAGCAACCAGTAAGGAGTCTCTGATCATCAGTATGTCACCATCCCCCAGAGCAGGAGAAGGAGAGATCCTTAAAGTTGAAATTAAAGAATCACAAAAGAAATAGATGATGCTTTGGGCTCTGGCCCCATCTATTGTCTTGCTGAATTCAAGCTTCTGAATTCAGGGCTGGTGTGACTTTGCTTTTGGGTACAGAAGATAAAAGTAGAGACTACTCATGAGAAAAATCTACTTCAGCTCCTCTTCTTTCCCTCCTTTCCTGGCACAATGGGACAAATAATTTACATTCTTAACCTTGAGCCTGAAGAGAGAACTGGTGTCCTAGGAATTAAAGCTTAGATTGCATTTCAGGACCACTTGTTTCTTGTTTAATCTATGCTCTCCCTTTTCTCTTCCTCCATCTTCTTTCTGCTTCTTCTCTTCCCTCTTCTGTTTATCCTTTCATTCTTATTGCTGTTCCTGTTGCTCAATTTGTTCTTAACTGTTGCATGTACTCTTTTCTATTTTTTCCTCTGGTTTCCCACAGTTATCCTTTTCCCTGCTACTGCCCTACTGTTGCTGAGGGTCCTTATGTTTTTCTCTACCCTTCTCTCTCCTACCCTTATACTTCTAATAAGTGACCTAGGTTTGTGACCAGCGTGGCTCAGAGCAGACAGCTGTGGTGCTGTGTGTTGGGATGTTTTAGCTTGGGACAGGGGACAGTGTAACAAAACCATTGTCAAAAAACAAAATCACAAAATCCGCAAGGGGGAAGCAGATTGCAGAATTATTGCCAGTCCTCTGAAAGCATAAACATCTGCTCCAGTTGTCTTTGGCAAGTAAACATGGGAAAGACTTAGATAGTCCACCCCACTGGGCTGTTGATCTACACGCATGATCTTCTCAAGGGGTTGGGCATGCTCTCTGAAGAGTAAGCAGTTGATACAGCTAACAAGCTGAAGAACTTTGATATCTAAACTAGCCATTTCAAAAATAAAGGTTATTTTATAAAAAGCAGTATTTACACTTCCTGGCTTTGTGGTGTGTACTTTCAACCAATGCTCCAGTTTTTCACCTACATCACAGATCTTGACCGATGGTGCAAAGTGAAACCCAAGTCTTTTGGGGCTGAGCTATATCATACCTGTGAACTACAGGTTTTATGAGTGCCACAGCTGAGAGGGATACAGCCGCCTAACAAGGAGCTCCCACACTGTCAACCTTCTGCATCAACTCATCACAGTGCCAGATGCAGTATTAAACAAAAGGCTGAAGATATGTTTAAATTTAATTCTCAATTACTTTTTTCTCTTCCATGGGTTCGCATCTCCTCTCTCTCCCTGCATAAAAACATTATGCAGAGGTTGAGCCAAGAAATTGTATGGGCAGGCTTCAGGGCTCCTCAGCTGACCAGCCAACCAAGGAATGCACCATGAAAAAACTAAGCATTCACTTTGCAGGCTATATATGACTCTGCAGGCTACACATTCTGTACATCTGTACTTTAGAGAAGCTGAAAGGCTTTAATCAAAGAAAAGGCTGGCAGCTCAACCAGAATCAGCTGGAAGTTTGCCTGAGTAAAAGCTGGGTGACTAAATTCTGTATGTTGCTTATTCCACAAATGGAGTATTTGACATGTATATGACAAAAAAAGTATATGACAAAACCCCAAATCTCTTTCAAAAAGAAAGTTCTGCTGCATTAGCAGTGAGGCGAACGTTCTACTGCTATGTGTGAACATCTTTATTTGTGTATTAATTGTTATTTAATACATAAAATGACATCAAAACAGAGGGAGAAAATTTAACGTTACATCATAAAGAATTACACATCTATTGCACATCCAGGAATGACTCAATGAAATCTCAAAATCAGAAATACTGCAGAACTGTTTCACAAATGAAGCTCTCTACGAATAATAACCATCTATGAATTGATTACAATATATAGTTTCACTTTTTTTTTTTTTGAGATTAGTCAAAACATCATGTAAAAGGGAAAAAACTGAACTCCTCATATTTTAACACTTTTATATTAATGAGGAAAGCTTGCTTCATTGCAAAAGAATTTATTCCCTTCTGCCTACACAAATGTTACCAGGTAGCTTCAGACATTTTCTCTGCGGGTGTATTTAAGTTCATCAGTCCCAAAGTAAGGGCTGAGGCTGCAGCAGCGAGCGCTACACTGCAGTGACAGAGCATCCCACAAATTGCTGCTTTGCTACAACTCATAACTGCCCAGGATTGCAGGAAAGCCTGACAGTTCTGTCTGCATGATTACCAAGTTACACAGCTCTTGAGCTCCTTAGACCCAAAATCAGTGCAGAAGATTGTGGCCACACAGAAGTAACATCCCTCTGGTTTTCTCTGACATCCTACTTTTCTGTTGTTGGAGTATTTTCCCCTTCCCAAAATTCCTCCATTTTTAGGGGGTGGGCAGGGGCAAGAAGGTTCCATGAATCCAAGTTGCAACTATTTGTAGTGGCAAAAAGCCAGAAGGAATGACGAGAAAGGTCAAGATGTAAGCTGTAATAAATCCTTTCACAAACTCATTCTACCCTGTAGATTCTTGACTGGAGATTCTTGACTTGGAGAAGCCAAGTGAATTACTCTAGTGCATTTAGAAGACACAACTCCCAGTTATCAAAATTGACTCAGGCTCTGTACGGCATCGAATTCTGCTGCAACATTATGTCTCCAATATCTCTGTTTCCCAATAAAGTACCTCAGACTTGACTACACTTGAATGTAAAGACACTGAAGGATGGAATAGGATGTTGTATTTGAAAAGTACAAATAATCAAATCTCCATGCCTCTCCAATTAAAATGTAGACGCTGTTTTGAAAAATTTTTTTGAAAACCTGATAATAATTGTATGAAATGGCATGCATGGGAGAACTGTAATGTGGCACAGAGCATGAAACAGTGACAGCTAAAACTCTCCAGTTTCAGAATATCTTCTTGCTAAAAGCGAATATAAGATGCTTTATAAAACAAAACATACACTGCAGAGTCATAACCACTAAATGAAAAGGCATTTTTCCTCATATCTGATGATACTTGTTATAAATCTGTGGCATAGTCACCACAGGAATCACAAAAGCAGCATTCAGCACTACACAGAAAATGCTGAAAACAAAAGCACAACAAAACAGTATACTGAAATTATCATTTTAATGCATAGGGTATTGCAAATCAATTAACTTCATCAGAACTGAAATACATAGAAAAGTAAAAAAATTCTGGTTACAGGTTAGCTCTCTGCTGTACATATTTATATTACGACCAATAAACGGCGAAAAGCATCCGATGAAAAAAACTGCCATACATCACTTTTATCACAAGGTGGTGCCAGTGACCTACAAGTACATTCACTTTACAAAACGATAGTATTTTGTCATTTAGCTTTGTCATTCTCAAGCTAATAACTCAGTTTTTACACGTAAAAATACATTAAAAATAATAATAATAAAAAAAAGGCAAAACAACACAGTAACTACCTTTCCCTTCGACTCAATCTGCTGCATTTTTTGATTCAGAATATTGCTTCAGTCTACCTTGGAAGTTTTCAACAGGCATTAGCTGTACATCTCTAAGAGAAGTTACACCTGGAAAATGGTTCTTGCCACTATCAGGTCTGAAACACTTATTTAAATGCACTTCCATGGCAACTTAAAACAGAATTGATAACAGAACTCAGATGCAACATTATATTTTTGGCAGACAGCTCAGAGGAACTTCAGTAGTATCCTATAATCCTATCAATAGTACCCATCCACTTCAATTAATCTAGATAAAGCATTAATACTGCATCCAGTTATCTCTGTACGGAGCAGGTAGCTGTGAAACAGTTTACTGTTCCAAAATCATACACTCTCAATTTGCAGCAGTGGGATTTAGGTTTATTATAACATCTTCCTTGATCTTAGTATTTTGTGTTGCATATTTGATATGGCACTTCATTATAATTTATATATAAAATAGTAACAGATTTGCACTACACTGATAAAAAGATGATTATAGATTTTTTACATAAATACATGAATTACAATTTTTTAAAAAAGAGCTTGACTTAATATGAAACACAATCTCTTCCTTTGTATTCCACTATTGAAAGCATTTAGGATCCCCTTCCACCAAGGAAAACAGAATGAAGATAACATATCCATTCATGATTGATTGATAACTGTCAATTATCTTGTATAAGACAATCTCAATACATATATCTTTCATCCATCAATGTTAATGTGAATTCAGATTTTTACAGGATTATATCTGTAAAAAAAAAAAAAAAAAAAAAAGAAACAAACAAAACCTACAGAAAGCAGGTCCAGCAACCAAAAGTCACATACACTGTGAGCTGGTAAGTCACATACATGATGACCTGGTGCAACCTTGAGTGTCCAAGTGTGCTAAATTTAGCATTAGTCCATTCTGTTCTTACATGAAATCAGTTGGATGCCTAACTCTAAACCACTTCAAATGTGAAACTGCAAAATTAACGTTCAAGATTGGCATTTCAAAGTGATAAATGTGACCTTTTACACCCACTTATGTTACACACAGTGACAGGATCAGAAGAAATCCTCAGCAAGCAGTATGCAACTGGGGGACAAGAAAGCTTCCACAGAGCAAACAACATGATTTATACTTGGTATAACTGATGAAGAGAAAACTCAAGTCAACAAAATGAACCAGAAATTTGTTTGCCCTAGAGAAATGCAGTATGATTATAGGATTAGGGCTTAGAGACTTGACTTTCTTATGTCTTCCTAAAGGGAGGGAAGAGGGAATATTGGCTTTTTTGTAGGCACTTTTCATTGGTAGGCTCATGAAAAAGCAGCGTGACTCAAAATATGACAAAAACAGATATAGGTAGCACTTTGAAGAACTGCCTTTGCCTGAAAATATACAGTCATAAATCAGATAAGAAATTTTTTAAGCAAAAAGTGGATTCCTGTTTCACAAAAAGTTTTTTGAAGATCAATAGTCATGGGGAAAAAAAACCCAAAAAAAACCCCTTACCAAAATAAAATCCAAAATTTTCATTTTCCAGTACACTCCACATTAAAACACATCGTACAGCCCTTACAGTAGTAGCCTCTAAGGTCAATAGTATTCTTTTGA